GGGAAATAGCTGTGCATATTTCCTAGATATAAACTAGTCTATTTGTCCTAGTGGCCCTGCATATGCAGTTCATTTTATGTTTTTAGAGGCTTTACCACTTAGAAATGAGATTAGGAGGAGGTAACTGGAAGTAGTGATCAGCAAAGAATAGGAGCTTTGGGAGAAAAAGGATAAAGCACTTGCTCTGCTAGCAGAAGCAATTGTGCCGGGTCCATACCAGTGTTGAAGGATGTCCTTTATGGCCTTTATATACTTACTGTTCCCGATAACATTACAGGTTGTCCTTGCCAAGATAAGTATGTGCTTTACTGATCAGCAGAGTCTGGATACTTGGCATGAGAAGCATAGTGCTTGTGCTAAAGAAACCAACACTGACATAAGGGTGTCTGCAGCAACTAGAGAGAGGCAAGCTTATACTTACTAAGTCTAAAATCTGTAGAGTAATAAATACTTCAAAAAGTTGTCTGTGGAAAAAATTTAAAGTCCTCTTTTGTCCTTGTGGTTTTGAATCACCTAACCTGTTTATGTAGGATGTGGTGAAATGAGTCTGCTGTGAAGAATTTTGGCCTGACTGACAAATGCATGTCTACTCAGTAGAACTTTTGGGAATAATCAGTATTTAAGTTTATTGAGTGTATGGAGCCCATGTTGTCAGAGGTGAGCTGGACCTGCATCTGAGAGCTTGTCTGGTTTGTTCACTTCTTCCTACTCCTCTTTTGTCTCCCATTTTTCTTCTCTTTAATGATGGTTAGGTTTTTCTCTACTGTTTTGTTACTAGTCCAAAAACATACTGTTTGGAACTCAAGTCCCTGTGCTCTGATGCATTGAGATGGTGTTTTCAAGCTGGAGCCTGAGTGCTAGCTCCAGGCTTTCTCTAGTCTGTTTCCATTATATTATAGCAATGTTCCCATATCACACAGTTGGAAATCTATTGCGCTGGGTGCTATACATTCAAGCAGATCAGGGAGGAGAGGAATCCTGGCATGGTTAGTTCAAATAAAATACTGAATGAAAGCATGTCAGGGAGTGTATTAACAAAGATTTGGAATAATAGAGCTCAGACGATATCATGAAGAACATTAGTGGGGACTATCCTGACTAGTATCCTAATAAAAATGAAGTCTCAGGCTTCACTGAATATCTGCTAGCAACTCTAGCCCAATCCCAGCTGCTTCATGGGGAATATGGTTGAGAGCTGTTAATTGCTGCAGTTCTTTTAGATCACTTGAAGATCTTACAGGAGTTGTGCACTCCTGGAGTGATTTTAAAACCAACAAAGAAAAACCAATTAACCAAATTAAGTGCAACAAAGAAGAAACTGTGGTGTAGAGAAGTTGTTCAGTGGGGTGTCTTGATTTGTGTGTGTGTTATTAGTTAATTTCCTGATTTCTCAAGTTAAGAACATGAGTAAATTTTAATATATAATAGAAAATTGCTATCGCTGGAGATGGTATGCATTTCAGCCTCAAACCATGCAAAATGTTCTATTTGAAAGGGGGGAGAGGGACCCATTCTAGGCAAAAAGGATGAGAATGCTTTCTTCTTTCAGATGGTAAAGAGAATATACATGTGTACAGCTACAATTTGCAGCTCTTAACTATATCTGAGCTTAACTTACAAAAATTTTTAGTAGAACGCTGAGCATTTTGTTATAGCTTATACAGCAAATCTGTCAATCTGGAGCTGCACAAAGAATGCTGACACAGGTTCACATGTGCAAAGAATTTCTTTATTGGGATCTGTAGCTGGTTGAATTTAAGAGCAATAGTACATTTGGGGAAAAGGAATACTTAAATGCGGCAGAGTTAAGAAGAGGAGAGGGAATCCTGCAGACCTTCCATTGAGTTTATCTAGCAATGTTCAGCCATGTGGCTTTACTATTAGCAGTCAAAAGATCAATCCTTTTCAACTTTTAGTGAAAGTCTGATGCTCTTCCTTTCCTTGTTCTAAAACTGAAGCTGAATGCAACTCTTGTTTTTGAAAATACCTTGGGGTGCTGAAATGAGTTCTATCAAGCATTTTCACATCTGGTAATACTCAACAGGAGAAGTGGATATGAATTTCAATGTGTGTTGGAGGAATTGTTGATCAATTTACTTTAACATTGCCTCCAGAATCTGATGATAGATCAGTACAAATGTGGGTTGGAGGGATGCTTTAGTGGATGGGAGGAGAGATGATCAGATTTTTAATTTGAACATGGTCTTTAGACTGTTGCATTCATAAATAAAGATCTAAGATTCTGAAAAGCTATTTGTGAAATGATTTTTAACTCTTGTGGCCATGAGATAGTTATTGAGGGGATTTGTTTGATGTCTCTAATGTTGAGTTGAATGTTAAATTGAATAGATTTGATATGTGCTCTTTGTGTAATAAAGCTTCAGTACTGAAAAGGGTAGGAAGAGTTGGGTAATTTCATTTGCAAAGGAATAGATTTGGTTTCCAGTACTGAAAGGAAACTCAGTGAAGGGTGCTGATCTCCTGAGAACCTAAAAACAGCCTTAAGAATAGGGGCAACAGAGTGTTTTGTATGTAGCCTTGGAAACAATGTCTGAAACAAAGAATGATATTATTTCTACACCTGCATCAGCACTGTAGAAAGGTCACAATCTGTAAATGCACTGAGGACTCCTGTATTTTAATAGCATCTTAAACTAAAAGGAAATACTGTTATTTATCTTGAAGTTATAACTAAGAGCATGAAACATTGTCAGCTGACCAAGTACACTGGTATTCAGCCTCATAAGGGAGGGGAATGTTTGCCGGAAGGCTGAAGTTACACCAATATTCAACAGTTTCTTAAAGCATGTTGCATGTAACTCCATCAAGCCTACTGATCATCACTTATGCACACTGTGCAAAGCCCTGGGGAATAAAAAGGATATACAAAGCACACGAATCAAACTTCTAGAATTAATATTGGGGCTGAGTAAGCACCCATGAGTTGAAAAAGGGTTTCGGCAGAACGTGGAGGACCTGGTAGAAACCAATTCCAATATGATGCCTCTCAGTTTTTTAGTCAAGAAAAATATGATCCTGGGCCTTAAACTGTGCTCATATGTTCATATAAACGTGTTCACCTGGAGAAGCGGCCAGACATCAGAATTGACTGCCCAGGGAAGTGGAGAAGTCACCATCCCTGGCAGTATTTAAGAGATGTGTAGACATGGCACTAAGGGATTTGGTGTAGTGAGGGGAATTGTTAATGTCAGGTTGACAGCTGGACTTAATGATCTTCAAGGTCTTTTCCAACCTAGATGGCTTTGATTCTATATAAGCTGTTCAGCATGGAGGGAGGAAAAACAAAACAAAACAAAAACAACCATTGAACTAACCAATGAATTCCATTATGATCCTGATAGCTAGGAAACTGGGACACATCTATAAATATCACAGACTACAGATATTCTGATCAACTCTCTTGGTAACTTATAAAGATAGTTAATACAATCTTTTTTTAGACATTGTTGCTAACAGAGAATCATCTTCAATGTAATTTCTACAAGATATGCAATGAGGGCATTTGATCAGTGGTTTGGAGATTGAGGGCATATACTAAGACTATTACCTGAAGCAGTATACAGCCCTTGAAGCAGTAAATACCTGCTTAATGACTAGCCACTCTTAATTGCCTATATTATCAAAGGCTGTTGACTCTTTGCTATGTTAAGGTTATGTATATATACATACATACACACATCTTCATTGCCTCACGCTTACTTCAGCAGTCTGTAGTAGCTATAGAATACAACCATTCTAAGTAAATCTGTTTTATAACGTGAAAAGGACAAATGATACAAAGTAAGGTAAAACAGGAGGAAAAAAGAAAAGGCACAGGGCCCAGAGTAGAAGCTAAAAGGATCAAGTTGAGCAGAGAATCAAATATTTCCTCGAATTAAGGAAGAGACCTTTTCTCTGTTCTTACACTTCGTAAGATTGTTCTTTGATGTGGTCATTACACATGAAAAAAGAAGTGGAAATACAGCATGCTGTATAAACACATCCATCTATATGAATTTTGAATGCACCCAAGCCTGAGACTTTTGTACTTCAATATTTTTTCACAACTTGCTTGCTACAGGAATCAGTGCTCTGCTGTAGCATAGTAATATAACATAGTACTATTTGGTAAGAGAAAGAAGTATCTGATGGAGTTGATTTTGCAAATGACTGACTTAGAAGGTGAAAAAAGCACAAAAACAAGCAAGCACAGAGCGTTTTTCACAAAAACAAGGTAGCAATGAAAAAATCTTACTGACGAACTGTTCTGGAGGTTTTGTGTTACTGATGCAAAGGGCTAGAAGATCCAAGGCTTGAAGTTAAAATGTCATGCTTCAGTTCAGTTGTAGTGTTGAAGCTGTGTTTATTTTCCTCTATGTGTTCATGTGATCTTTAATGTTTGCAAGTGTCAAGACAGGTGCTATACTTGTTCATTAAAGCATTATGTCAATCGGTGCTTTCATGATATGCAAGGAGAAAACGACCTTAATTTGTCAGTCAAAAATAGAAAATAATGAACTTGAATACACCTTCAAAGTGATCTGTAACAGTGGTAACAGAAGACACCTCTTTTGCCATATACTATAAATTTTCATTTGAGACCTAAGCACCCAGTGACTGCTCATGAAACAACCCCCCCCCGCCCCCCAACAGAAGAACAATTGCATTAAGAAATACCAGCTCCCCAGTCTTTTCTTAGTTTACTTTGTCTGTCTTTCCAGCCTGTTATACATGTGCTTGATGGCTCTATGGCAGGCACTCTGCATTATTTTCTGTTTCTATACTAGCTGAGTCCTTTACAGGATAAATCATTGTTTGCATTTTCCTTTCAAGTTACAAAAGTCCTTTCTTTTTCTGTTAGGTCTCAGTTTGGCCAACTAAAATTTTATTTTGGTTGAGGGGGGAAAAAAAAGACAACAAAAAAGCACCCCAAGCCACCTAAGAAAATAACTTACTTCAGTGGCTTACATGATTTTTTTTAATTTTTTTTTTGCTAACAGTTGTATGGAGTGCATGAAGACACTTAGCAGTCCTGATCAATAATGCTGCTATCAAGTTTTGAAAGTTTCTGCAAAAAGCTTTATTGAAGTAAGCCATCTGTAAGCAATTAATCAGGATTCATGCATCATTTTTCTTATTAGAAGAACCGAGATACCTATGGAATTGTCATTTTTAAATTTATGTGTATGTGTGTAGATACAAATAGATGATATCACTTAATTCTTCTGGTAACAGTGATATACATTAAAATATATGATAACAGTTCTAATAAACAGTTTTTCCTTGTATAATATCTGCCAATCAGCATTAATGAATGAATCTGCACAATAGCCTTGAGGTAGAGGCTTTCTAAAGCAGTTGGGGAAGTTGAGGTACAGAGCTACAGTTTTGCCTGAGGCCAGATATGTAACTGTGGCATGCTGGAATGAGATTTTTTCGCTGTAATGCCTCCAGCTGCTGATTTACCCACAAGAGGATCCTTCCTTTCATGCATCTCCAAGAGTGCAATCAAAGCACCATGATGCTCTGATCAGCTGCTTCTGTGATGCACAGATACAGTGTTCAAGAGGCAGGAGAAAAGCCAAAGACAGATCGTAATCCTAGAAGAGATGTCTCCTCAGATGTGATATCCCCTTAGAACAGTTGCAGTAGCACAGCTTTGATAGAGTCAAAGCAGTTGCTTCGGTAAAACGTGAAGGAATGAGGTCTCAAGCTCACTGATTATTGACTTGTTTTGGGGGTGGGGGAATTTACTGATAATTTTTTTTATTGAATAGGTGTGTATTTCATAATGCTGAACTACTCACATTCTTTTCTAAGTGTTCATTGCAAAAACAAACAAACAAAAAAAAATAATTTTAATTATGATTAGTGTTTAAGGCTTTATCCAAAGGCTACTAAATTTCCCCAAACCCCTTGGTTTCTGAGGTTTTATTGTGGTTACTAGTAAAATTTCATGAAAACTATTTAAGTTTTTTAAATTCTCATTGGTCAAGGCTCTTATCTGTCAAAGGTTTGACCTGGATGCAGTGTCCCTTTAGTCAAGACAAAAGATCTTACTTTGTCTCAGCATACATTATTTCATGTTGAAAAAATGCATGACAAACTTGTACAGCAAAGGCAGCCCAAAGGAGACTTTCCAACACAAGCTGCTGTCTGTTGATTTAGACAGACACCAAAGCATACAAGGTCAATATTATGAATGTAGTATAATGCTGAACACATTGTTACTGCAGAAACAGTACCATATATATATATTTATTTTTTTAATCCATTTCGCTGATACCACTAATTTCTCTATTGACCTAATGCCAGAGTTTTTGCAATGAAAGGTTATAGAAGAGTAGGATAGCAACATCTGTTTGTTTGTAAAACTGGCAAGAGAATGATTTGGAGGAAAAGAAATCTAAAGACAAAAATTAGAGTTCAAGTATGAATATTAGTTATAACTGCATTTTTGGAAATAGATATTTAACTCTGGCCAAGTATCATGACAATTTTAAACTACTGTTTAAGGCAGATTAGTGTTTTGAATTTTAATTACGTAGTTATCCTAACAGCTGCCATGTCAAACTGTCTTTTCTGAATATGTCTCTTTTCTCCCTCCCAACTCTGAGTTGGCTTGTAGTACTGATTCATTCCATTCTTGCTAGTTCTAGTTCACCTCTCTCTATTCTGGATCCAGTGATATATTCTTTCCCAGTCTTCAAATATTCAGCATTGAAACAATTCCATGGATAAGAATATTGAGCTTTATTAAGGATATATTAGTAATTTTAAGTAGGTAGTTGTGAATTTTTAGCTCTAATCTGTAACAATCTGACCTGAACATTTTATTGTAGTATGAAGTTTTAGGTATACTTGATTTGTTGTGTATAACTCGTTTGAAACATCAGATCAGAAAAGCTAACAAACTGGTAAATTAAATATTGCAAGCTATTAGCAAAGGATTAGATGACAAAACACAGAACGTTGTGCCATTGTATGAATCTTTGCTGTACATCTTGAATACTGAACAGAGCTCTGACCATCTCATCTTTTTAACAGGATTTAACAACTTAAGAAAAAGTTTGGAGAAGGGCAAATAGATGGATCAGAAAGATGGAATAGCTTATATAGACAAATAAACCAAACAAAGGGTAGAATAAGTGGGGGTGGGGTGGGGTTGGAATATAACAGGGTAGAAATCCATGAAACAGGATAGAAAAAGATGTACACAAAGTGAGTATTTACCTTTTTACAATTCAATAGCTTAGAGGGAACCAATGCCGTTATAAGGTAACCAAGCTTTAAGCAAATGAAGATTACCTTTTCACCAAAGAGACTAAATCAGGTCTGAAAGTCATTGGCACAGCATGTCTGGAGGACAAAAGTAAAAAAAGTGTTGTAAAGGAGTTAGAAATAGCTCATGAAACTAGATAGATTCATTGAAACACATTTCCACTTAACAGTTACTGGACAGGGTAATAGTTGACTCCCAGGAGGTGCTCTACCTCTAATAAGAAAACACTTCTGTAGTATCTCGAATTTTTATTCCTGTTTACCACTGTTGGGACTAACCAGAGACAAATGTAGAATTCAATAAAAGTTAATAGCAAAATTAATGAGACCGCAGTGATAACAGGGAACAATAATATAAATTTCCTTTGTAAAGGTATTTTTATTTTTATTTTTTTTAAACAGACCCAAAAGTTTTAAGGAGCCAAGTTTCTGATGCATGAGGTCACTGAGTCTTCAAAAACCAAACTAGACACTGACTTTTTAATGTCTTTGGTTGCCTTCTCAGATCATCAAGCTGTCCAGCATTTTTCAGTACTGAAGCCAATATTGATTTCTTTCCATTTTTAATAAAGTCACTGAAAGTGAATATCAGAATATCATAGCCTCCATGCATAATTCAGCACTTGTTGACACTGAAGGCAGCTAAATAAAGGAAATTTGATTGCTTTTAGAAGAAATTCCTAGGCACCTTATTTATGGAGTTGGTGCATGAAAATCCCCTTCAGTTTGCCTTAGATTAACATATATATAAATTATTTTAAGCTACCTTATCTACTTGAGCTGTCACACTTGTACCATAATCATCTATACTGTTTTTTCCCCAAAGTCTTGCTTAAACTGAAAAACGTGTGTGTAGTTTTTTAGTTTAAAGTATTTGGGGAATTTGAAGGATCTCTCTTCTGCCTAAACACAAAAAGAATAATGACCTAGACTTTTTCTTTATTCTATCTAAAGGTGGAATTCTTGTCTGTGAAGGGATTTCCTTCCTTCAAGAGCTATTGTGAATGAGAAAAGCCTGAATAAAAATATGAAATTGTCTTTCAATACAGAAAAAGAAACAACTTGAGAATCTGTTTATCAGGAATGATTCCTTCATGAATTAAATCAAATCATAAAGCATTTATACTCTGCAACCTTGATTTTTAAATATATGTAACCACCACATGCTGAAGAATTCTTTGCAGCACCTTTTAGCTGCAGCAACCCAAACACAATGGTGTATTCTCAATGCTTAGACAGAGAAAGTGTGGTGACAGAAGCATACTACAGTTAACATGTCTGTAATGAAACATTACATTTTCTGAATTAAGATCGTATATAGCTCCAAAAGGACTATTGGACAGTCAATTTTGGTCTGGAGATCTTAACCATAAATCAACTGTGGACTGATTATGTTGTGGTACTGGAAAGAATCCCTATAAAAGGCCCATAAAATTGCAAGATATGATGTGCTGGGAAAACAGATTTCCCATGTTCTGTCTCATAGAGAGCTTCATTGTCTTGTTTAGTCTTTGTTGTACTAAATCTTTAGTAGAGTAGCATTGTTTTATCTTCCTTCAAATTTGTGTTTTCCACTCACTTTGAATTCTGCTTCAAGGAACTTAGAAAAAACTCACTGTATCCTGCAGTATGGATGCAAGGAACTACATGTTTTTATTTCCCTGAAGCCTGAAACAAAAAGACATTTTTTAGTGTATTTGGAGTCATGCTCCTTGATATTTATTCTTTCTTCATATTTCTTTCTAACCAATATTATTAATTAGCTATTGCATGAGGCCCCTTGGGACTTCTGATTAAACCAACCACTTATGCAAAAAATCAATCTTTCAACGGCAGGCTTTGTTAATCTTCCAAATCCAATTTCCATTTCTCACATTCCTGGTTTATTGATTATACTTCAAAATTCTCAGATCATCTGTTGGGCTTATTGAATTAATCTCTATCTAATAACTTAATTGTCTTGAAAAACAGATGTGCTACTTCCACTGAACACTAAAATTTGGTTACAGACAACTAAGGAAATGACAGCACACACGCACATATTTATTTAAAATCATTTAATTACTTAAACTTTCACACTGACCTGCAGTGAGATTGAGTATGAAGGGACAAAAGGGTAAGGAGACTATACTTTATAAATGAACTAGGTAAAACCCTGTTTTTTGGTGTGGTTTTGTGTTTGTTGCTTTGGTGTGTTTATATGTGTGTGTGTTTTTTTTGTTTGTTTGTTTTTCTTCTGCTACCACAGCGAACTGTGTTTCATTTGTAGCATACAACAGTTGTTTTCTTATGGGGAGACATTGACATAGCCCTAAGTGCAGTTAAGGATGCTGCTGTATTTAGTTTTTGCTATGGATGCCCAGTGCAAATTCCTCCTCTGAAAATAATAATAATAATATTTAAAAGGATAAGAGAACTAGAAACACAGATAAGCGGAGACAAAAGTTGCTTGTCTGTGGTTATACAAGTAAAGCTGTTTCACTGGGAATCCCTGTTTCTTAAGAAGGGATGAAGAGTTGAGCGAGCTGGTCTGCCAAAAATTGCTGGATGGCAAAGCTGTCCAAAAACTAATAAAGGGCAAAGGGAGGACCTGGAATTCCTCATATAGAACTAAAAGGATGAATTGACTTGACTTAACTAATTTAACTTAAAAGCTGAGACTCTAGAGCAATTGAAGTCACTGGCATAGTTAGTGTGTGAGTTCATTTAGAAAGAACGAAGCAACCATGTAAATGGGTCTGATCTCTAGTGCTGGGTAGACCTGGTGAAAACACCTAGGTGGTAAGAAATCAAGAGAGGGGAAGAAAAAGGGGAAAAACAACAACAAATTATGAACTCTATGGTGGGTGTTTGCTTTCAAACACCAAAGCCAGTGGAACAGGCAAAAGGCATCTTCATGGAAAACAAACAAACAAAACTAAATAAAGCAGAGTCCATGATTTGGTGTTGGCAAAAGTTTTTACTGCCTAGGCATCTGCTGGGAATGAAGTACATCAACACTCAGATAATCCAGAAAATTCTTGGAGTACTTTAGTAGACAAATTTTATATATAATGTAGATGACATTATTAGAAGAAGATTGTGTAGGCTTCATTCTAAATAAATACTTCATTGAGGATGTCAGGGCTGAAGATAATTTGACTGAGTAACCCTGAAGAGAGAGTTCATCATGCTGAGGGTGGGGAAGAATAGCACAGCCCCTTTCTGTTAAACTCAATACTCAGGAGGTAAGATTTCCCTTGTTGTACCTGAAAATACGTTTTTAATTTATCTTGATCATAGGAGACTTTCTGACGTTTTCTCACATTGTTTCATCAAAAGCAAGATGAGGAACAGGTTTCTCATCTCATTAAAGTGCTACAAGGTGGATGCCAAGCTGATTGTGGGGGACAAAAACTTGCTTTCTCTTTGAATAGCTATTGAGGACTCTCTACCACTAGAAGTATAGGAACTAAATTACAGCAAAGGGGACCAAAACTGCAGTCTGGAAAAATATGTGGCAGTATATAGAGAATAGTGTAGCACTAGAATAGTTTACAGAGAGAAGATGTGGAGTGTTTATTGTTGGAGGTCCTTAAAATGGTGTAGACAAATGTGGTAGGAATGACTTGGGTAAGGATGATCCTGCTACAGTTCACTGGAAAAGACAGATTGAACATTTGAGGTGATTTCCAGGTGAATCTATAGACTTAAGATTCACTAATATTTTAATTTTTTTGTGTGTTTATTTTGTGGGGACAGGGGTGGGGGGAGGGATACAGTGATCTGTTGTTAGATGTCTTTCCCCACGTTTTCCCACTCTGAAGTTTCCGCATTCTAAAATCTGGGGGGGTTGTATTTGAACACCTTACAAATTCACGTTTCACATTAACTGATCTTTGTAGTAATGCTATATTTCTGTTTCTAAGTATGTTTTTGAATGATTGCGTACAAACAAAAACATGAGACTGGAAAACACAAAATACTAAATAACAAACATAGAAAATGTAATCATTTCTTCCAGTCAGAAAGGGTTGGTATTAGCAACCCTGTTCAATAATTCACCAATCAATTAAAATAACATTATTATTCCCTCTTTCCACTTAGCAGTAACAATGTGTAAAGGTCACTTGCCATCTAGTTAGGGAGAAGAAGGCAATTAACATCAGAGTAAAATGGAATATTCATTTTTCTGTTACACCATGTAAGCGTGACATGTTTTCCTACTTAAGATGGAGTCATCAGTGATAGCAGGTTTGAGCTTTCACCTCACTAAGAAATTAAGGAAGAATTTCTAAAACATTGTGCTGACCCTACAGATCTTGTAATTTAGTGTATAAATAGCTGGAGCCTAAGTTGTAAGAGGTGATTGCCATTTAATATAACAGGAATTAGGCTTTCAGCCACAATACCAGGAATGCTTCTGAAGCCATTCTCTTGTTAATTCACTTAGATTTCTGTCTGTGAGCATTCAGGTCAGCACTTTGCTAGGAATTTCAGGCATAACCAGTGTTTTTCTTCTGAGATGGGGATTTTCTCTTTCCATTGATCTTTTTCCCTGATAAGGGAAGTGAAACTTCTCTTATTTTTTTGTTATTGGCCTCACATCCCAAAGTTAATGGGGAGGGAGAAAGCTGAATGGATTGAATAGAAGCTATCTTTTGCTGAAAACTGTGGAGTTACAAATGAATCCTAGGACCAGACTTATGACAGTCTTGGGTGAGCCTCATCATATCATATTCCTATGTGTGCCAATAAGTCAGGATAGTTTTGAGCTGCACTTTGTATGCTGCTCACTTGGATTCCTGACACCTTTACGTTTTGTTGCCTCTAAGCATGTTACTGGGCTCCATTTCCTGGTGTTTGTTTCAGTTTTTCATCAGTCTAGCAAATTTATCACAATAGTTTTCTGTGGCTATGGATACATATTAAAAAATAAAATCTAGGAAAGAAACCAAATTGCTATAAAAGTTCTATTCAATAAACGATAGTGTTAATATTTATCCCTTGAAGTGTTATGAAATATTAATGCTTTATCAGAAGCAAGGGATAAATTTAATCGTCGTTTCCTCAGAATGCACCATTTAGTTAGTTGGTTTCAGTCTTCCATCTTGCTTAGGCTACATTTACTTCCATAACAATTTTGAAAGTTGTTAGCCTGCTTGTACTGATACACTTGGCCTCAGATGTTAAGTTACTTCAGATTTTAAGAAAACGAGGGAAAATAAAGGAAAACATTTATTAGTACTGCTAGTAAGGAAGAAAAAATTTATTTTAATAAAATTTACTTTAACAAAATTTATTTTAAAAGTAAACCAGCAAGTACTCTCTATGTGAATGCCTTCAATTTCCAAATACAACAGGATGCAGAGCATCTTTGTGAAGTTACCATTTCACTGAAAAAAAGAGAGCTTTGAGACTCTAAACTCTTCTGAAAAATCTAGTGTCACATTTGTCTTTTTCTTTTCCACTGACAGATTTAACAAATGTTAAGCATTTCTGTCATTCTCATGTTAGCATATGAAGTGTGAAAATTAATTTTACTTGCTAATTGAAAGATAATTGGTTTGGGGGCAGGAATTTTCACTCCATTGGGAGGAAAAGAAATTAAAATAAAATTAAAAACATAGGTCTGCTGCAAGTCAGCGGGAGGTGGCATGGTCCTTCCTTGGAAAAGTTTGTCTGCAAATTAGAGGAAAGGGAGGTGTAAGATAAATCTTATGAACTTAGTCCCAAACAACTGAAGGCAATGAAACAGAGGAGCATATACTTTTTTTTTTTTTTTAAGTGTTTCTTCTAGAAAGAGATTGAATCTATAAATATACATTGTTATAGCAGAAAACAACCTTAATGGATAACTATACCCACGGAGGACAGAACATCACAACACAGAGCATAAATAGTACTGCTAAACCAAGAGCTGTTCTTCTCTTAGCCATGTGTTTATTTCAATGGTAGGTAAAATGGATAGAAGAATGTGAGGCATTAAGAATAATTTTTTTTTTGTAGTCATGTTATACATATGTAGCTATTGCACTTTGCTACTGAGATGTCAGCTTTTTCTCTTGATAAGTTCATCAAATTGGTCTCAGTTGTGCATTGTTAATTTCATGGAAAACAAAGATAACCAAACTTTGAGCCTTGCTGCTTCTTACATTGAGATGAAAAGAGCTGCCTTGCTATTCTTCTAGGGGTAGCTATTCATAGCTCTCCTCTGCTACAGTGTTTGCAAAAGGGGAGTGGGGAGTGCAGGGTGAAAAATGGGCTAAAACTATTTTCTACACTATGCCTTATACTCTTTTGCTGTTTCCTTGCTGCTGCTTCATCTCTACCTTTATCTTATTATCTACACTGTAAACTATATGGGTAATGATCACCTTTTTATTCAGCATATTCATAGCAGCTAGTACTGCAGCAGTCTGGACCAGAAGCAGGAGTGATGTGAAATGTCCTAAGAAACCACTTAACATGTATGCAGCAGAATTGCACCTCACTGTTGGAAGTCATTTAAAGGTCTGTCTCTTGATGGATTATATGAAAGAAAACATACAGGGTAAAGTGAAGTAGATGCCTTAGGAAATACAGTAACATTTTAGATACTCTTCTCTGAGCTTTAAAGAGTCCAAATGATTAAAATTTACAGGAGAGGATTAATATAGCTACGTCTCAAAGTACTCAACATATGGTTACAATAGGCACAGCTCCACTCATGGCAAGAATACTTACCCATTTTCACCCATGTTATTAAAACATGGGATTATTTATAGAATAGATGCCACAGTGTATCTTCATCAGGTTCATAAACTTGCGGATGTGCTGATACCTATGACTAACCTGTTTTTTGGTTTTTGTTTTTTTTTAAACAAATTAGAAGACTCTATCATGGATTAACCACGTGAAATGTCCTTTGAATATGTTACGCAAATTCTTTGCAAGAAGAAATTGCAGCTGAAATAGGCACAAAACATAAAAAGTAAGAGGGGATTCAGAGACACTGGAATGTAACTGGCTTTTTTTTAAACTTCCTGTTAAAGTCCTGTTTTAATTTTCAGTTCTGTTCCCAGTAAAACAGACAACCTTTTTCAGAGTACAGGAGGTCAAAATGCAATTTGCTTGTGTTTTTTATAGAATAAGAGGTAGTGTTGTTGTGTGTTTTTTGTTTTGTTTTTATTTGTTGGTTGTTTGTTTGTTTTTTAAAGTGCTTCAGTAAGTAACAGAGGACATCAGATCTGGACACCTAAAGGACCGTGTTGCAGATCTTCAAATATGCTCATCCTTGCAACAGTTGGAGTTTTTCTATCTATAATGAATAATGAAGCTTAAGTCCAAGCAGCTTTTCTGAGCTGTACTCAAGGTACGTTACAGTTGTCATGTAGGAAGTCCCTAATGTACTTGGAAATCTCAAGATAAATTTCAACATGCAGAGGTTTGTTTGAGGACATGGGAAATAATCTAATCTACTATTTCAAATTTAATTTAGTTTTAAGAAGTGTTCTTACTCTTTGTGCCCCTGTCACAGTTGCATGCTGAGAGTATTGCACATCACATTAGATTAAGGTCAATTAGCAAGTTTATAAGGGCTTCTTTTTTTCCTTTTACTCTCTTTAAATGAAGTAGTACTGCAATTTTATGATTAAAACATTGTCTCTTGAATCATATCAGATAAGAGACCTTAGCTGGATTCCAGTTGTGATTAAGATTATGATTTTTGGCCTAAACGGTCATGAGGAATCACTGACCTTTTAATCAGCACTGATTAAGAAGTCGTAGCTTGCTCTCTGCCTGGTACTCCACTACCTACCATGTGGAGCTTATAGCAATGAGATAATGTGCTGGCAGCAGCCCTAGGGAAACTCAACTTCTGAGCAGCTTTGTGGTCGAGATTTCCCAAACTGATGGGAGGTCTTAATTTTTATCTTTCATTAAACAATTCTTTCAATAAAACAATTCTTCAGTGCAGAAGAGGAGAGAGGGGAGAAATGGCAATAGGTTACAATTTACTGTTCAGTGGGTAATTTTAAGGTTTCATGCAAAAAGGAAAAATGGGCAAACAGGAAATGACAAAGAAATGCCCAACTCATCAATCTGTTACACGCCCTTTAAAATGGCTGCTGCCCATTGGATAGAAGTATACTAAAACTCATCTGGAAAGCCTGTTCTTCCAACTGTTGAACAGAGTTATGGAGATGCTTCATGTTTCAGCCAAAATGTCTGTTATCAGTGACCATATGACTTACAGAAAGACTTTCATAGTAAACAGAGAGATAATGATTGCACTGAAACAGGAGAATAACCCCATCTATTTTTCAGCTTCACAGAACAAGCTATACATTCTACTTATTGAAGGCTTGTGAGGTTGTTTCTTCCTAACCAGAACAGGAACATCAAAGTTTTGATACTTTGGAAACTATCCCAAAGAACTTTTTGAGTACTTTTCTGTAAATTTGTTTTTGGTGCCAGGAGGACATTGATTGTGAGCAAGGAATGTTATTGGTGTTAGTGTGTGTATGTGTATCTATATGCAAGAATGTTATCAGTGATTTATGTCTGGCCCTGTTCTGTGAAACATTATATCCCAGAATACTGGATATTAAAGTGACTGGGTTTTGTCTATTCTTGTGTTCACATCAGTGACCATCATTAGCCAAACAAACTAAGAAAAAAGATTCCCATTAGCTCTATATGGGGTAGGCCGATAGTAGTCTGATGGTATGTCAGAAGAAGAAAAGAAATATGCACTTTTAATTGACTTAATAATCTTCTATTGGGCAATGATTAGAAGACAATTTTCATAATATACATTCTCCAGGGCTATCTCATCTTGCTTTAAATGTCATACTGACTTGGGAATGTATTATTATGCTTAACATACATTATAGCTAGTGATGTTAATAGCCTTAATGTACGGGGCGATGTTTCTACAGACTAGTGAGTCCATGATGTAGGAGCTTTTGGCATAAATAGCAAGAACGGATAACTAGTAAGAAATACATAAATAGTGTATGAAAATACCAGGAATAACAAGACCACAAAAGAATGACGTGGCTGGGTATTCTGTGCAGCAGTGTGTTGGCAGTCCCTATAAGTCCTGGAAAAATATGAAATCTAATACTGGTAGGCATGTAGCTGGAATAATGAAAAGCTGTTTTGACGATGCCCAAAATGTGGCAAGATAATAAATTAGCAAGTGAGATGTCTGCAGACAATTAAGGGACTAATGAAAGTCTGTGCAAAGAACTTTTGGTCTTTAAGGATGAGAATTTCCTTAATCCCAGTATGATTTTTGCCACCCTTGTGTGATCACCTCCTTATAATGCTGGGTTTGCTATCCACTATACAGAATGGTACTGAACAGAGAAATAGGGATGGAAGGTCCAGTGATGCACAGAGCTATGTGCCAGGACAAGGTTGACTGGATCATTCTAGAAGAATAAGGGTTCAAAATAAGCTCTAGAAAACCTGCAGTGGCCTGTGAGTAAGCAACTGTTACCTGGACTTCCAATGGTGAGCTGTAAATCACTGGAGTTTCTAGGAAATCAGTAGTCCCTGGAGAGCTCAGAATAGCTAATGTGCCAGTGTGGTACAAAAGACAGACTCTGGAAAGTGTAAAGGCTTCACAAACAGCTACCCAGTGAAACCAAGAAAACAGATGTACAAACGACTCTTGTCTTCCTGAAAATGCCAGCTATGACCCAAAATCTAGCACAAGTAGCACCAGTGACGAATCTTAGGTATTACTTATGTTCCAGATCAGTCACATAATTTGCTTGTTTTCAAACAGTCTGGACTTATGTGCTTTAATATGGACTAGTTCAGGATATATCAAAAAATACTATATTTAACTATGTTTCTTTAGGTAGCTGAGGGAAGACAGGTAAGCAATAGTAGATTGGGATGAGATAAATACTGTATTTCTCTCTGAAAGTGAGTAAAAGAGACAATTTTATATACCTCCAGTTTAAACTCTGACACCAGAAAACAATATCAAAAACTGAAACACATTCAAGCAAACCATATTTAAGCACTTAAAATCTAACAATCAGTAGCAGTCAGAATGGATATTAGGAACAAGTCATGTCAGATAAATGTAATTGTATTCTGTGACAAGCCTTATGTATAGAAGAAAATGCCACGTGTTCTGAGTGCAGTAGGATTTCTGAATCTTACATGACATTCTAATATCCAAACCAGAGAAACATATGATTAATTTTTTTGTTATGTGCATGAATGTTGTAGGGTTGCAATACCATGTATAAGGAGTAGGTATGCACAACTAACTCTCGATGGCTGTATGGGATCTACAGGAGTCAGACCTAGATAAAGCGCCATTTGTTATTATATTGTCAGATGAGGCCTAACTAATTATGTTGTGGAAAACAAATGTTGAGAATGTTCAAAAAAAATTTTGAAATTTGCAAACTGATCCAAATAAATCAGACTAGTTGATCAAATGGATTGCATAGGTTCCTGAGGCTTCCTATTATTTTCTCAAAAAGGAGGAGTATTATGGCTATTTCAGATACAAAGAGATAATGGGAATCACATTACTGAAATCAGCAGGAGCCTTCCTGCTGACTGTCAGACTCACAAGGACTTCACGTGGGCTACATAAGAAGACAGGGTCAAAACTAAGTCAAACAAACAGCTTTTGAATTCAGATTCCATTAGATGATATATGGACTCAGAAGTCCCACTTTTCTCAGAATCAGAATTTTTATTGCTTGGAAATTTTTCCATAGTTTCTGCTCATCATGAAATTTTCCCTTAGTCCCAATAAGTACCAATTTATTCACTTTTGTTCCTCCTTCTTCCTTATTCAGACTAACTGATCACTAAGAGTGATTACCCACAAAGATGTGATGAAGGCCACGGGATGTTCCTGGGATGATATGGGACAGTAGGAAGGTAACAGAATTTCTATGCTGATTTTAAATTCCTTTCTCTGGGTAATGGCCAAGATTTATAGAGCTTAGCGCTGCCATCAGAGTTTTTCCAACCGATTTAGTTTTTCTTCAGTATTTTTTCTATAACATGATAAAATGCATTAAGCTGAAGGGACTTAACCAGCAAATCTACTTATGAAAGAAGTAAAGCTTAACTAGTTAAAAAAATAATAATAATAAAAAAAAATCTGTATTTAAATTAACTCCGTGAAATAATTCCAATCACATGTACAATGCAGACCATCTGTAATGGTATTAATTTTTTCTTAAATGGTACTGGGCATATAGACAATAATATAAAGTATTCAAAGCTCTTCAAAATAATTTCCAGATAATGGTGCAGTCTTTCCTTATTAATGACTGGCTTTACCTGGGTATAATTCCATTGATTTCATGTGAGTTAATGGTGATGGGATCCAATATATTTCTTACCTTCAAGAATATTTTCAAAGGTTTTGTCTTCCGTCTGTATGCAGAAGGCCACTGGGGTTCATTCTAATTTCAGATGGTGCTGAATTAAGGTATTTTAACTGCAAACAAATATTGCTTGAGTTTATTGTTCAGATAATCAACTTGAATGAATGTGTTCCATAAATTCCAGAGGCTGGCTGAAATGCATTGAGTTTTTTGACACATCTTCATTAAAAAAAATCCACTGTTAGAATGATGGTCTTACTATATGGCACTGTATGTTGTTATTCTCAGATTATTGGCAGTATCCTGGGTTTCATAGTAATATCAAATTTAATATGCAAGTTACTCATATGGGGGAATGTAAGAAAAGCGATAGCTCAATTTTAGTGGGCTTTGGGCCGACTAGTCTTCTCTCGGATTTTTTTTTTATTTTTTAGTCTCTTGTTCTTTTCATATGTTTTTAAGTAAGCAGGCCTTAAAGAGATATGAAGCTTTGCAGTTTTACAGGTACTTTTTGACAACAGACTCGTGGTGTAAAGATTTATGACTACTTCAATAGGAGCAATTTTCTGTGGTTTTTTTTTTTAAGTTAATTTAATTCTCTAAAATATTTTCAGGCACATTTCAGGCTGACAAAATGACATTAAACTGGCCATCAGTTTATCCTTAGTATTCTTTTTGTATTTCTGTGCCTGCCGTGATTACAACAAAATCCTCAGCAAGAACTATGGTTAAGTAAATATTTAATATTACTGTTGCTAGCAAGGAGCATGTTGAAACAATAGCATCAGCTTTTTTCAGGACATTCAGAGTACTCACTGTATTTGTGGGAAAAAATGCGAATAGTGTTGCTTATATCAAATTGGTATAACATCAGGGTAGCTGCTGCCATTTGATTGTGTAATAAAATAATGGATAAAATGGATGGAATATTCAATTAGTATAGACTAACTATGCTAACACTTTCCACTCTGTTCTCTCATGGGAGATTTAGATCAGAAGGTATTTTGTAAAATTCCAGCATTGCAACAGTGACCTATTCGTTGGTGAGGCCCATATCTCAGTTCATATTCCAATTCAGTCTCTTTGCAGTTGGATGTACAGTCACAGTCCAGTCGCACCAGGAGCTGGAGCGAAATAAAAGATGACAATTTCTAATTTGTTCCAAAGTCTATAACATTGCTATTCCTAAAATACATTTTCCAGCTGTTTTGCTACAAAGCTAGTTTAAGTATGTTCTGCCTTCAGAATATCGTATTTCTTTATTAAAAAGATTAATGCAAGATATAGGACCTAATTCCCACTATGAGAAACATCTGGCAGCCAGAAGGGCCAACCGTGTCCTGGGGTGCATCAAGCACGGCATCGCTAGTAGGTCGAGGGAGGTGATTGTCCCGCTCTACTCTGCGCTGGTGCGGCCTCACCTCGAGTACTGTGTGCAGTTCTGGGCACCACAGTATAAAAAGAACATGAAACTGTTGGAGAGTGTCCAGAGGAGGGCTACGAAGATGGTGAAAGGCCTGGAGGGGAAGACGTACGAGGAACGGCTGAGGGCACTGGGCCTGTTCAGCCTGGAGAAGAGGAGGCTGAGGGGAGACCTCATCGCAGTCTACAACTTCCTCGTAAGGGGGTGTCGAGAGGCAGGAGACCTTTTCTCCATTAACACCAGCGACAGGACCCGCGGGAACGGAGTTAAGCTGAGGCAGGGGAAGTTTAGGCTGGACATCAGGAGGGGGTTCTTCACAGAGAGAGTGGTTGCACACTGGAACAGGCTCCCCAGGGAAGTGGTCACTGCACCGAGCCTGACTGAATTTAAGAAGAGATTGGACTGTGCACTTAGTCACATGGTCTGAACTTTTGGGTAGACCTGTGCGGTGTCAAGAGTTGGACTTGATGATCCTTAAGGGTCCCTTCCAACTCAGGATATTCTATGATTTAACAAGAGCTGATGCAAAATTTCTTTAGCATCGTTTGTCTCTATTGAGTTAAAGATGAAAACTAATACAAGATTGGGGGGGGGGGGTGGGAGGAGGAGGTGCAGGGAATAACTTTGTAAAAAATATTTGTGAATGTATAAGAGGCAGAAACACCTACCAGAGCCCAGGAAAATCCAGCAAATTGTCAAAGGTTCAATGTAGTTGAAAGTTATGAGGCTACAGATAAGTAGGTGAATGAATGCGTTACATTGCTTTTCACTACAAAAACTAGTTGGGAAAAGAAGTCAGTATTGAAAGGAAAAAGATCTGAATGCTTTTCTAAAACTGCTTTGTCACCTAAAGAAGTCTTACAATAGCTGAACATTTGCAATTGCGAAGATAAGGTTCTTTTTTCTTATGAGATTTCTGAACTTTACTCCGGTTTATAAACTCTTATTAAAACGTCCTAGTAGTAAGGGAAATTGAAAGTGATGTCTAATTTTTAAGAAATTAACTGAAAAGTCCAATCCTTATTCTGTGTTAAGGGGGATAGAAACTATAGCACGTAATTTAAAAAAAAAAAAAAAAAGTTGGCCTTTCTGACAATTTCTGACAAAGCAGGATAAATTTCTGATGTGGCTTGAATTTATTTTGGTTTGGTCACATAAGAGCTTTTTCATGTATTTGTATTTGCTTTTTCATGTGTTCTCCATGAAACATGAATTTTTCAGGGAGTACTAATGAAAACAACCATACTGATATACTGAAGACCTGTTTTCTATGCTATCAATTCACAAAATTTTTCTTAAATCTAGACACAACTCTGTACATTTTTTTCTGCTCCCATCTTTTACTGAACAGTCAGTTAGGATTACAAGCAGCTCATGTTTTATCTGAGCATGTTCTTACTGTCAGATACTGAATAACCTGGACTTCTCTGGCCTGCCTTGGTATGTATAGTCAGTCAGAGGTCCTCTCAGGAGTACCTGACATCCATAGCTTCCACATTAGAGCTGGGACAGGTGAGCAGCAGAAGAATGGGTAGAGATCTATCTAGTGTCTAGTGTCAGATCTGTCTGTCTTACTCAAGCAGTTATGTCCTCTCATTCTGTGGGTGTCAATACAACATGGCATAAATGTCTTTTTATTTTGAAATAATATTAAACTGACATCAATTCATCTAGGTACAGCTGCTTTATTCTAGCACACATCAGTTGTCACTGTACTACATTTAATTGAACAAGTAGCTCAACTAAAATGCATGCGAATATTCTGGAAAAAAAAAAAAACCACAAACTTTTCCATATAATGCCAGTTTATATAGTTCTCTCTATGTATTTTTTTCTTGCTAGATAGTTGTTAAGCCATATAACAGTTATATAAAGAGCATATTCAACTGAGGTCTTGAAAACTGAAATAGACCTATGTTCCAAAAGAGATTGATTTCAAATAGTCTTAATTAGCTGTTTAAATTGTCTTTTCTTTCTGAAGCTTCTCCTCTTCCGTTATAACTTCTAGCTTTTCTTTAATACCATAATGGCTAGACTCTCACAAAGACACTTGAAGCTGACTAGAATACGTGCACTAACATATTTAAGGTATCTTAAAATGTGAAAGTGCCAAATGTTTCTAAACATCCATTTATACTCCTTTATGAGTAACTCAGGCAAATGAAAGACCAGAAGTTCGCAGTCTTGTCACAGCATTCCAGGATGTGAAGTTTTAAGAAAAGTGAATTTTTGGGGAAAAAAAATCATAATGAAAAACCTAGATTTCATACTGCTGGGTGATTAAGCAAGTAAACAGAGCATAATTTGTTTGTTTGTTTTAAACAAGTTAGAGGGCAAGCATCCAGGATGTCTTCAGGGGTTTTGTTTTAAGTGCGGTCTGCTCTCACATGCTATTTCTTTATGAGTGAGACACCTGATTAAATCTATATTTAATGAATTGATATCTTGTTCCCCTTCTAGGGAACTCTGTATTTTTACCATTAGCGGACTGAACAATGTATGAAGTATTGCCTTTTCTCCCCACTCTGTTGGTACTCAGTCTGTCCCCATTCTGGCTGGGCCCTCAGCCTCTTACACTTTTCTTACCCCAGACCTGAGATTTGGGTGACCCTTGCTAATGCAGCCTTGGAAACCATCTATTTTCCCTGACTCTGCCAGGCAACCAGGGTACGAGCTCGTCATGCTCCATCCCTCATTAGTAAATAGCTATTTATCTGCCTCGAGTCTTCACACTAATCACTGTGCTTGTCCTTTAGATCTTCCTGTAATGTTGTTTCAGTTTGTCAGCTTTCTGCCGGTCATGCATTAAGGACAGCTGGCTGGCAATCTATCACGTTGCTTTACGCACCACAGCACAGTTTGACTGACGTGAGCTGACATGATCCCACACTTGGTAGCACAACACGACAGCTTAAAATATGGGAGTGGGTCATATCAGCCCTCTTAACACTCCTTATTCATTTCAGACCCAAATTCACCTCTTTTCATCTTTAAAATAAAAACACCTCGCTCCTTCAAAAAGAAAAAAACCTGTGTTACAGCATTTTCTTTGCTTCAAGAGTAGAGAACTCTGAATGTAGCTTTCTAGATTGTTTATTTTTACTAATCCTTTTTAAAAATAT